TTTTATAAACCGGAAATATGTCGCCGACAGGCATCCCACGATAACGACCATTAGACTGTGACTTCCAATGAATCATTTTATCTTATGGTTTCAAATAGATACAAAGTCTTATGTTAAAAACTGAAATAACAATTTGTATCAAAATTTATGATAATATTATCTTCGAAATCTCCAAGATTATTAACATCAACAATCAAACTATCATTACTTTTAAAAATATCTTTATATATCAAGTATCTTTAAATATTTATTATACATTAATTATACTTAGAGAAGATAATTATACTTCTCATTCATTTTAAATTTCCATTTCGATATATAACTTGCTATTAAAATGCTTTAAAATCTTATTTTAATATCAAGAATTTTTTTAGAATTATACTATAATTAAATAATAATAATTCAAAAATAAGTAAAATATAATATAATGATACCTAGATATAAAATACGTATGATCCAAATTGAACGTTAATAACTAATTTAAATATATATCTATATTAAATAAATTATTCACAAAAGTTCCTGAAATTCGAAATTAATTTACAACAAATTAGTTTAAATTTAAAATTTATACGGCTCAATTTATATATATAATATTTAATATTAATTATTTCTTTAGGAAATTTATCGGTAATATTTTTTAATTTTTTAAAGTATTATCCCAAATATTTACTAATTATATATAAAATTATATATAATTCTATATATTACGATTTTTATTGTTTATCTAACCTAAATATCGACAACTAATTTCCTACTTTTTTCAAACTTAAAACACATGTAGTCCACGTTTACAAACTTTACATCATATTTTTAAATTATTAAAAATTCAAAATACCTACTCACCAAAACGATCAGAAAATAAACGACGATCAAAATACCATATTTGCTGTCATCTTAATCGAAGTCCTTGTAATGGTCAGGAAGCAATTAATTCAAACGGCAAGAAATAAGTGCGCGCGCATGCGTGTCATTGCAACTGTCGATCGTAGTTTCATGGAAAAGAATCACGCACTACTGTTCTTCAGAACAATTTTGATCACAAATTAAATGATTCACTGTTTGATCTATTAGAAGTTTGAATAGGTAAACTATAACACATTCGCAATGAAATAATATTATCACAAACACTGATGAATATTTTGAAACAAAGTAATGCTATAGATTAGGTGCGCAAATTGTATGAAGACGAATAAGTAGCAGGTAGCGCGCAGCCTTCGCTGCTCGAGCAACAGGTAGACACTGTGGAGAGAGGCGAAGATGGGAATGGAGCGAGTGTGCCACTCAGATAGACGGATCCAAATGCCGAAGAGCGGGAATGAATGTAAAGCAACGTTCACAATGATGGATGGCGCTGAGATCTTTAGATCTTCAATAGTGTCATTAGAATAACCTTAAAGAATCTTTTATAACCTAAAGAATGTTTAAACGTCTTATCATTTTCTAATCTGTTTAATAATTTTGAATTATTTTTATATACTTAGCAAATAATTAAATTTTGTTGGAAAATAATAGTAACGATAATAAAATAATAGTAAATAAAATAAAATAATAGTAGTGCTTTTATTTTTTCGTACTTTGTTTTCAATTATTTGAAAATTGTCAATTGTAATCAATTGTATGGTTATTGAATAATATACAAACTTCATTTTAAAAATCATGCCATTTTCGAATTTAAATTTCAAACAAAGCACAAATTCACTATATTCTGATTCTTCCCACTATATGAAATTATATCAAGAAAACGAAATCTTTCACGAAAATTTTCGAATTCTCTCTATGAACTTACTGCGTTTACGAAACCTTGATGTGTAGAGGGGAATGGACCTTATCTGTCTGGCTGCTACACAGTGTAAGGCAGTCTCTGTTATCGTTCTTATTAATCATTCAACAAGCGTAATATGGTTGCATGAAATGGAAAGAACGTATCGCGCAATTGTACGTAACGAGAAGGTTAACAAATTATGCGGCTAAGGATGTCATCTATCAGATCGACTCGTGTTATGATTATCGCACAATCTGTCTTTCATACATCGTGTCATACATCTCTGATGCTTTTTACATCTCTTTCAATAAATATATAACTAACAACCTTGTTTTCATTATATCGTTCTATATTATTATATTATTATATTAACATTAACATTATATATAAAAATATGTATCATAAAATTAATAAAGTATAAAATATATAAATATAATTATTTCTAAATCATTAAAAATAATTAAATATTGAAATATTCAATAATGATTCCAGATATATAAAAGTGAAATTTCACTGTTGCTTATAACAAACTCAACGATCATTTACATTTTTATTTTTTTGGTAGTATTAGAGAAATAAAGTTAATTATTCGCGAGGTTTCGTGATGATTTCATAATTATAATAAAAAGTAGGTTGATTCGTGCAGGTAATAGAAGCGTAGCAGGTTAGATTCAATTAACAGAGCTCTCATACGTGACTAGCTAGTAGAGATTTGCTTTCTATTGAAATCGACCATCTCGAAATCTAGCACGGAATTATCTTGAAGTTAATCGAAGGAAGCTTCATCAGACTTTCGATCTATTTTAGACGGAAACATTGCTCAAAGTTTGCTTTATTAATTCAGATTGTAAAGTGGATAAAGTTTTAACTGTATTTACTTTTTATGTACAAATTCATATTAAATTA